ATGGTGAATCCGAAAAAGGTTGGAACATGGGTTTAGGAGGATTAGTGCTAGGATCTCTTAAACCCTAAACCCTAAACCCTAAATTTAGCTCAAGGGCATGAGGAGAATGATGTTCCAACTTTCCGGCTACTATTCCAGCGGTTTGAAGTTTCGGGTTCAGTGGTTTAGGGTTTCGGGCGAAGGGTTTAGAGTTTTCGAGGTTTAAGGCATAAGGCCAGGGTCTGGGCAAAACCCACACAGACGCTAATCATACAGGGGCCTCAAGAATTTCAATAGGGTTCCTTTGAGGGGTTCAGTTGAGGGCCATGTCTTATGTGGTATGGCATAAGGGCTTTCAGTATTGGAATAGAGTTCCTTCAAGAGCTCAAGACCTGGCTTTACAAGACTGCTGTAGGGTTTTATGGGATTGTAAGTATCACTCATATAGTTATGCTGAGCTAAATGGGTATTTTTCTCAACTTAGGGGGTCTCTCTCGGGGGACTTATGGCGGCAATCCTGCTGCCTCTGGCTTAATAATGAACCTTTAATGAATTACTTATGTTTGCAGCTCGAAACCCCTCGATAAGGATGCCTACTACACTTACTTTCCCAATAAGCCAGGGAAAGAAAAGGTTAAACTTTCAGATTGCTACTAAATTATAAGAACCACAGATAGCTTCAAGGTTGGGTATTGGAACACTAAGTGGGTAGTTCTCTAAATTAGGGTCCCTGATTTGGTCCCCAATATAGTACGGCACCCTTATAAAAAGGACCCCAAAAAGGGACCCCTAATTTAAAGAACTACCCAAGTACAGTTTAACAGACTTTCAACAGAAGCCAAGCCTGAGATGCCAAACCCTAAACCCTAAACCCTAAACCCTAAACCCTAAACCCTAAACCCTAAACCCCTAAACCCAAACCCTCATGCCTCGAGCCTCCAATATTCCTTGATTAAGGAATATCCCTTAAATTATAGTCGGATCCTTCATATGATTTAAGGTATATTCCTTAGTTACGGGATATTGGAGTCTCTGGGAAGAACAGACAGGCTTGGAGGCCTAGCATCAGAGCCTCAACGATACGGTTTGGGGTTTAGGTTCAGGCTTTAGGGTTTGGCGTTTGGGGTTAGGGTTTAAGGGTTAAGGGAGCCTTGACCCCAGAAGCCCAAAAATGTGCCTGGAAAGCAGGGTAGGGGCGAGTAGCAGAACGCTTCGTCGGCGGTCCAGGCGTGTGCATGCCCGTCTGAAAGCCCATCGCTGCAAGAGACCATTAGGGTTTAGGGCTTGGGGCTAAGGGCAGGTGGACCGGCCGGCGCAGGTAGAGGAGTTACGGGTTTAGGGTTTAGGGTTTGGGTGGAGGGAAAGACTGAGTCTGCTGCCGTCAAAGCCCAAACCCTACACCCTAAACCCTAAACCCTAAACCCTAAACCCAAAACCCAAACCCTAAAACCAAAAATTCCTTTCCTTTTGAACTTCGTCCAGCACACCTCAGAGGCGAAGTTGCTAGGTTTAGGGCTTCGGGGCTGCTTCGGGTTCGGGTGCTCTTTGGCTAGGGTTTAAAAGGGTTGAGGGTTTAGGGTTTAGGGTTTAAAGTTTAAGGGTTCAAATCTTTGGGGAATAGAATTTATCCTGCGGTGTGCTGCTTCCCAAGCAAAAAGCCCAAAACTTTCCCGAGATAATTGTCTGGCAAGCTGGACGGCCTACAGTTCAGAAGTTTTCATTTGCTAAGTTATAGTAGGCAAAGGTTTTATTCTGTATGTAGTCATACCATTATCTTGAACCGCATGTACAAACCCCTTCTACTTGCTAAGGTCGCTATATTGGAGTTGTGGGGAATTGTTGGTGCAGCCTTTTGGTGAAGGCTTTGCTTGAGCAGCTCGCGGCCACGGCATGTTTAACGGGGGCAACCGCTCGGTTCGGTTCAGGCCTTCGAAAAAGTTTCGACCCAAAGCTAAACCGCACACCCCTAAACTATAAACCCCTAGATCCATAAACCCTAAACCCCTAAACTCTAAACCCTAAACCCTAAACCCTAAACCCGAAACCCCTAAACTCTAAACCCCTAAACCCCAAAGCCTTAAACCCTAAACCCCCCAACCCCAAAGGATCACGAAAAGCAAAACTTAGGGGTTTGGGGAGTCCACCTTTTAGGGCTTACTGCTTACGGGGCTTGGGGTTTAGGGTTTAGGGTTTAGGGTTTAGGGTTTAGGGTTTGGGGTTTAGGGTTTAAGGTTCGGGGCTTAGGGTATAAGCCATAAGGTTCAGGGTTTGGTGCTCATAGGGTTTCAGGTTTAGGGAACGGTCTCGCAAAGCTCAGGTGATCTGAGGTAATTGGATCTGATCTCTACTTGCAGTGAGGGTGTAGTTACTTTGCTTGCTCAATATACGCTAACCTACCGAAACCTAGCCCAAACCCCAAACAAGCAAACCCAAAGCCGTGAACCTCAAAACTCTATAGCCTACACCCTAAACCCTCGCGCCCCAAACGCGAAAGCCAACTTACCAGGTCAGGGCAGCAAAGCTGCTGTTGTGGCAACACGAATGTTGCGTACTGTGGTGGTAGTGAAACAAACTTGCATCCAAAAGCGAAGCCTGAAACCACGAAATCACATGAAGGTTTTTGGTTTAGGGTCTTAGCTTAGTGCTCCGAGGCGGTGACGGTTATGCTGCACTGAGGCAACCCTAAACCCTAAACCCTAAACCCGGGGAGTCATATTCTAGATTTTAGTCCAACCCCGAACTGGAGCCCGATCCGGGTCCGAGGTTTAGGGGCTTAGGGTTCCCGGCTTAGGGTTTGGGGTTTAGGGTCCGGATTTGGGGTTTAGGGGCTTAGGGTTTCGAACGAAACACGCTTAGGGCTTCAGGAATCCGAAATCCTGGACCCCTAAACCCTAAACCCTGGGGCGTCAGGGATCTCATACCAGGGCCGCGGACTCATAGACATCATGGTCGAGCCAACGGCGACTAGCCGGCTTGTAGACCTTGGGGTTTAGGGCTTTTGGGTTTTAGGGTTTTAGGGCTTTAGGGCTTTAGGGCTTTAGGGTTTAGGGTTTTAGGGTTTTAGGGTTTAGGGCTTTAGGGTTTAGGGTTTAGCCTTGGGGCAGGTCGGATGTCCTTCTGGTCCTACTCATCTCAGGCGGTTCTGTCAAGAAGGCACTTCTTTGAGGGCCGAAAAATGAAGCAGTAGCATTCCTAGAGGCCGAACGGCTAGCCTAGGTAGATTTAGAGTGCGGCTGTTTTTGGGCTACGAGAACCTGTGGTTTTGCTTCGCCGTGATGCCTCCTACCGCAACTGCCCAAACCCTAAACCCTAAACCTTAAACCAACCCACCACTACTCTTGCCAGTGTACATGCGTGGACTCTTGGCGTGGGTCGTGCCGCGACGCTTTGGGAGCACCTACTCCATGAGAATCCTCTGTCTGATGTAGATGTAATATCGAGGCCTTAATAATTAGAATAGAGTTTTGGGGTCCATTATGCTGTACTTATATTGAGGAACCCCCGAAATAGTATACGCAATTATTTCGGTGTATTTAGGCCCCTTAAACCCTAAACCCACTGCCCTGAACCCTAAACCCTAAACCCGAAACCCTAAACCCTAAAACCCACTGCCCTCCATCCCGAAAGCCCTTGCATCGTCTCTGTGGTCGCAGGTAGCGCCTCGCCTGCAGACTCGACGACTGAGTGCTACCCCTAGGCCCCATAGTAGTGGTTTAGGGTTTAGGGNNCCCTAAACCCTAAAACCCACTGCCCTGAACGAGATGATGTCACTCACGTGGTATTCGCGGCCGAGAGCTCAGCCCGAGGGCATCCAACTACCCAGCCCAGCAGTCTGCGGAGTTTGTCGTGGAGTTTAGGGTTTAAGGTTTAGGGTTTAGAGGTTTAGGGTTCAGGGTTTAGGGTTTAGGGGTTCAGGGTTTAGGGTTTAGGGGTTCAGGGTTTAGGGTTTATGAGTTCAGGGTTTAGG